CTGAGCASTGCTGTCCCTCTGACATTCCTTCCCCCATCAAAGGGATAGGAGTGGGCAAGATCCTGGGAGGGGACACAACCAGGCCAGCAGACCCAAATCAACCAAAGGGATATTCCAAATCATATGATGTCAGCTCAGATATATAAGATAAGAGAGAGAGGAGGAAGGGGGGTTCATTTGTGACTCTTTCAATGTTTGTGTCCCAGAGGAATCATTACACATGCTGAAGCCCTGATTCCCAGGAGGTGTCCAACCATTGCTTGCCAAAGGGAAGTAGAGGCTGACTTTTTTTTTTCCTTAGCTTATGCATGCACAAACTCTCGCTTATTTCTTTCCTTTCACTGCAATAAAACTACCTTATCTCACCTGCTGGTTGTTCTCCATCTTATTCTCTCCCCYGTCCCACGGGGAAGGGGATTGATAGCACAGCTGAGTGAGTACCTGCACCCAGCCAATGTTCAMCCTGCTACAGTCATTTTACTCCAATAAAGTCAATTCTGTAGGACTCCTCTATCTCCTTTCTGAGCACTGGCCTTTGGCAGTGTGGTTTTCTGCAGAGCAGCCTGTGAGGAGGTTCAAGCCACCTCAGACATTGTTGGGACAGAAGCACATCGCATGGCACCATGACTGCCTGTGCTACACTATGGGATGTTYAAAGGAAACATCCMCTTAACACATYACACAMCCAGCACYACATGGAGTTAAGTGGGTAATATTGATTAGTAGGTAATATTGATTACACGAGCTTGATTGGGAATCCTGGAAGAGATCGTGGACTGGCCATAAAGAAGAGATTTTGGAGCATTTCCAGAGAAGGTGACTTGTGCCCAAGAAGCACCACCATATAATGAGTTACTGGAAGATGAAAGAGTCTATGTCTATTTACTGATGGATCCTGCCATGTGGCAGGAAGCCATCAGAGGTGGACAAGCCATTGAGGCTGCTGAAGGAGAAGGCGAGTCAAGTCAATTTGCAGAAGTGAAGGCCATCAAACTAGCCCTAGAGGTAGCTGAATGAGAAAAGTSACCTGTACTCTATACTGGATGGTGGCTGCAATGGAAGTGGCAGCAATGGAAGACCAGTTGGCAACCTAGGGATTACAGAATCACAGAATGAACTAACCTGGAAAAGACCTTCAAGATCATCAAGTCCAACCAATGACCTAACACCTTGTCATCAACTAAACCATGGTACTGAGAGCCATGTCCTGTCTTTTTTTAAAACATGTCCAGGGACAGTGACTCTACCACCTCCTGGGGCAGACAATTCCAGTGTGCAATCAGTCTTTCAGTGAAGAWTTTTTTTCTTACATCTAACCTAAACTTTCCTTGGCTCAGCTTAAAACTGTCCTCTCATTCTGTTGGTTGTTGTCTGGGAGAAGAGACTGACCCCCACCTGACTACAAGCGCCTTTCAGGTAGTTAAGGTCTCCCCTGAGTCTCCTTTCTTCTAGGCTAAACAACCCCAGCTCCCTCAGCCTTTCTTCATAGGGCTTGTGTTCCAAGCCCTTCACCAGCCTTGTTGCTCTCCTCTGGACCATGTTCAAGCATCTCAACGTCTTTCCTAAACTGAGAGATCCAGAATGGGACACWGTACTCAAGGKGTGGCCTCACCAGTGCCAAATACAGGGGAAGAATGACTTCCCTAGTCCTACTGGCCACASTATTCCTGATACAGGCCAGTATGCCATTGGCCTTTCTGGCCATTGGGGCACACTGCTGGCTCCTGTTTGGTCTGTTGTTGACCAGTACCCCCACATCCCTTCCCACCTGGGCACTGTCCCCACCTTGTGSAGCTGCAGAGGYTGTTGTGGCCAAAGTGCAGGACTCAGCACTTGGACTTGTTAAACTTCATGCTGTTGGACTCAGTYGATCTATSCAGCCTGTCCAGGTCCCTTTGCAGAGATCTCCTACCCTCCAACAGATCAACACATGCTCCCAGCTTASTGYTGTCTGCAAATTWACTGATGGGGGACTCAATAYCYTCATCCAGATCATCAAYAAAAATATTGAACAAGACTGGCCCCAACAGTGATCCCTGGGGAACACCAGTAGTGACTGGCCACAAAATGGATGCAGCACCATTCACCACCAYTCTCTGGGCCCGGCCATCCAGACARTTCTYAACCCAGTGAAGAGTGCTCCTGTCCAAGCTGTGGGCTGCCAGCTTTYCCGGGAATATGCTGTGACAGTGTCAAAAGACCTTGCCTAAGTCCAGATCGACAACATCCACAGCTTTTGCTGCATCCACCAGGTGGGTCACCTGGTCATGAAAGGAGATCAGGCTGGTAGAGTATGACCTACCCCTCCTAGACCCATGCTGGGTGGGTCTAATAYGCTGGCCATCCTGTATGTGCCATGTGATGGCACTCAAGATGATCTGTGCCATAATCTTGCTGGGCACTGAGGTCAGGCTGACTGGCCTGTAATTTCCYGGATTCTCCTTCTGGCGCTTCTTGTGGATGGGCATCACACTGGCCAGGATAAACCCATGTGGGCTGGACTGCACCTGCACTGGGGCAGGACATCGGTGGACGGGTCAAAAACATGACCGGAAAGGGACATCAGGAACATGTTCACACGCCCAAAAGCTGTGCCACAGAAGAACATCAAAACAATGAACAAGTAGGTAAGGCTGACAAAACTGAATCAACTTAGGTAGACTTGGACTGGGAGTGGAAAGGTGAGCTATTTATAACACAATGGGCCCATGAAACATCAACTGCAACAGACAGATGGGCTCATCATCACGGGGTGAACCTGACCATGGAGGTCATTGCACAGATCATTCATGAATGAGAAGCGTGTGCTGTGATCAACCAAGCCACAGAAGTAAACTTTCTCTGGAACAGAGGGCATTGACTGGATTTTGGATAYAGTGAGACCTGGCAGATGGACTATATTGGACCATTGCTATGAACATGCCAAGCCAAGCATTATATACTCACCACAATAGAGGCAACAACTGGCTGTCTGGAAACATAYCCTGTAAACAACTGCAACTGCTTGCACACAACCTCAGGCCTTGAGAGACACATTTCATGGAACAGGGTACCCCAGAATTGAGTCAGACAATGGGACTCATTTTCAAAATAACCTCATAAACTCTTGGGCAAAAAACCATGGCATTGAGTGGACATCAYATCCCTTATAACCCGTCAGCCTCTGGAAAGACTGAGAGGCGCAACAGACTGCTGAAGACTGTGTTAMGAGTGTTAGGTAATGGGGCATGGAACCACTGGGATACAAACTTAGCAGAGGCCACTTGGCTTGTTAACACTAGGGATCTGCTAAGTTCCCTGGTCCTGCGCAAACAAAATCCCTACACACTTTGGGAGGAGGTAAGATCCCTGCACTACATAGAGGAAGTGGCTGGGAAAATGGGGGTAGATTTCTCCTCCCATGGAAAAAGGCAAACCCATTCATGGGATTGTCTTTGCTTAAGTAGCTGGGTGTACTTGATGGGCAATGTGGAAGCATGGGGAAACCTGTTGTGTGCCTCTAGATTTAACCTTGAGAGAAAAATAATTTGTGGTTAAATTGTATGTTGCAGAAGTAAAGCAGCACAAATGACATGAACTGATGAACAGTGAATTCTGCGAGGAACAAGGAGAGCGTGATGCAAAGAGCCTATGTTGGTGCCAAACAACTGAGTGTGCTGCTTCTCCTGTCCTTAACACCCATCCTGATGGAAAGGAGCCCAAGCCATGGTCTGATTTTGGACATCTGCAGGGGTGGAGGATGATCTTGAAATGGCAAATAACATCTATCTGAGAAAGGACAGCAGACAGCAGTTAGTGAAAACTCATAAATCTGTATATCCAGCCAAGGTCAACCCATCACAGCCCCTTTACTTTGCTCTCGTGAGACCCCATCTGAAGGACTGCATCTCCAGCTCTGGGACTCCCMAACAGGAAGGACATCCATCTGTTGGAGCAAATCTAGAGAAGGGTCACAGGTTGATTAGAGGRATGGAAGATCTCTCCTATCAGGAACAGCTGAGAGAATTGGGACTGTTCATTCTGGAAAAGAGGTGGCTTTGGGGTGAACTAATTGTGGCTTTCTAATACCTGAAGGGAGCCTATAGGAAAGACAGGAGAGAGACTTATCACAAGGGAATGTAGGAACAGGATAAAGGGGAATGCCTTCACAATGAGAGTAGGTTTAGATTAGATACTAGGAAGAAATTCTTTACTGTGAGGATGGTGAGGCTGGAACAGRCTGCTCACAGAAGCAGGATATGGATGCCCCCTTTCCTAGGAAGTGTTCAACACCACAGTGGATGGAGCTCTGAGCAACCTGGTCTTATGAAAGGTGTCTCTGTTCACAGAACCTTCAACGTGATCTTTTAAGGTTCCTTCCAACTGTTAAGGAATACATTTGGTGCAGGTAGATGGTTTGCCTGCAGTCAGGAGATGCAGATACTGCATCTCGATGGGAGCCCAGACAGGAGATTGTGAACTCCCAACTCTGCATAACAACAGGCATGATGATGAGTGCCTAAGCAGGTGAATGAACACAGAGACACAGCGGGAATGGAAGACTCTAAAGGGGAGATTCAGGAGGAAGAGTGAGACTTGCCTTACACTGTGATGGTATAAAACCCCAGGAGTTCCTTTATTTGAAATCCCTCCTTGGAGGCATCAGCCTAGGCTGTTTCTGGGCTACCACACTGAATAAATTGCTTTATGGAACAAGGTACACGAGACTTGGGGTCGAACCAGTAAGGAAACGTAATTTGACTGAGCTGGGTGTGCAGGGAGTCGAGAGGGGCCTGTCAGATCACTGGAGCTGCCCATGGTAAAAAAAAGCTTTGGTTTCAGAAGTTAAAAATCTCTGGCACYGGAAGAATGATTGCCAGAAAGTCACACGAATGGTCACTCTAGGAAGTTTCTGTAACACAACCCAGGCCATTCTGTGATTTGCTCACAAGTTTGCAGACATCCAAGCACCTCAAAACCTCAAAAGTGCAAACAAGAAACAAATAGGTAACAACAGCAACTTTCATTTAAACAGTGAGATTCTTTGCATTTATAAAAATACAGATCCTATCCCTCCTTCAGCACCAGACTCATTTGCAGATCATTGATCCTTTCTCATTACCCAGGTGCTCCTTGAAACTGTTGCTGCCTTTGYTCCAAAGCTTGTCGACTTAACAGTTGCTGTTGTTTCTGCAGAAACTGCACTACTTCTGGGCTTCTGAGTAGGGACTGAAAGAGAGAGAAAATGAATTTTACAAAACTCACGTACATCAAATAGCTACCATAGTAGTATTTTTCCACTACATGAATTTGTGCATTACCCACTGCTGTTGTTTAACCCCAGCACACAGCTATATATCTTCCCTCCCTCCATCAGCCTATTCTTCCCTCTCTCCTTGCCATGGATGAAGTGCTGCACTGCACTATCAACATTCTTTTCATCACAAACCCAAAGCACAAACCCATACAAACTACTGTGAAGAAAATACACTGTATCCCAGCCCAAACCAGTACATTCATACAAACTAGAGAACAATTAAATACTGCACAATTACAAAACATGCTCACAAAATACATCTAAAACTGTTTCAGAAGATCAGCAGATAACCAGAAACAGCATTCACACACATCTGCAAGCACATCCAGAATGCAAAGAATAAACAGTATCGCAAAACCCCTGTAAGTATAGCAGACAGCAGTAATCTAAATCCTGACATACTAAAACCAAAACATCTTTCCATTGTGCTTCAGTTCTGAGCTAATTTCTACATTTCCCACTGCAGATTGCTCAAAAATACTTTAATAGATGAATAAAATACTGTAATTCTGCAGCAAAGCTCACATGCCTGTCACAGTTCAAGCATYGGGACTACGCCCTTAGCACAGGTCAGTTTTAGGCAGTCCTGTGAAAGAGTAGGGAGTTGGAATCATGATCTTTATGGGTCCGTTCCAACTCAAGATACTCTATGATGTTCACTGAGTGCTCAGAATTTCCCAACAATTCAAAAYAGTAGTCCACCCACAGGGAATGAGTCAAAAAAATCCTCTGCCATCAATCAAAGGACAAAAGTATCTAAAAGTATTTGCATCTGTGTCCTGGCATGAACAGCTGCAGTCCGTAATCCAACTCTGGTTGTTCACTCTCATTCCTGCACAGTGGCAGCACAAGTTATTATAAGGTCAAATGGCAAATCAGGTTGGGAATTGATCCTTCCAAAAATTAACACAGGAAAAGGGTTCTTTTTCAGCTGAATGCATTTCCTAGATACTTGCTTATTATCTATGGTCACTTCAGTGATATAACCAAAGAGGTACTACAGCTGCAAATCAGAGGACAAAAATAAAAGTAAGAACCAGATCAATTCTGAATTTCAAGAATAGTGCAAGTAAACCCGAGMTCTTAAAGATCCTTGACAAAACTCTATGCAAAAGCTCTCAATATGTATTAAAAAATATCTGATTGTGGTATTTCTATAAAAGATAATGTTTCATTAATCAGATACCATTCAAATTTAATTAAAAGCCACCAACAGAAAACTCTAGGAAAGGGCAATCCAGTAAGCGGGGCATGAAGAACAACAGATAATACAAAAATTACTCCATAGATCATTACCTTTTTTTCTTGCAAAAACYGAAAAGCTACAAATACTCCTTGGAGTTTTAGATGTAATCATTAGGAAAAAAATCATATAAATCTATGTAGTTGTTATTTAAGACTAACATAATTTTCTTTAAAGGCTTTCCCAATTTCTGAACAAGCACTACAGCACTTTGATGAGGGTTGTTAAATTGCTTTGCACAGATAACAAAGAGAAGACAGTCCCAATAGCTTTTGAAGAACAGGGACTGCAAAAATATGGAGCAAAGAAAAGTTACAATGAAGAAACCAAAGAAACTGTAGCTACTGAATTATTACCCTGCATCTGGCTTAACACTTTAAAGGAAAAACAAGTGTTTAAAAACCTAAGACACATGCCATTTACACAGCCTACAAATCTTAACCACACTGTTTGCTTAGACTTTGCTTTATCAACACATATATACACAATTTTATGCATGATTCTGTCACATTTACAACTTCTAAAACCCACCACAGACCTGAAGTTGTTCTGCCTAAAGCTTTGGTTTAACAAGCTAAAACCATCTCAGTCGTACTATAGGCACTATTTACCCTAAAACCACCACATCTGTTACTACCAAAATACAAAAACTTCAGTTAATGTGGCAGTGATCATTAAATTCAGTCATCTTAGTATTCTTCAGAGGCTGAGGCACACATCTCTGAAGCATATTCCAAATTTGAAAATATGCACATGCAGTGTATGCTTATTAAACTTATTTTCTTTTTTCACGATGGTGACAGGTAAACATTGTTACACTGCCTTTGAGTTCAAAACCTCTTGAAAACAAGACTTACCAGCCTCTTTTTATTCAACACTTGTTCTAAAAGAGTAGGTCTTGCTGGGCGATCTCCAACGGATCCTGTTCTCTGCTTTGTAACAGACACTGAACCTTCAACGCTATCCTGCATATGACACAAAACAAAAAACAGGGAAGCCAGACTATAAACTACAGTGATACACAGAAAATCGCATGAGCAAAGAACATTTGTGTCCTTAATCTGCAGAGGAAAGCACAGGAATGGAAATCTACCTATTCAAGATTTGGCCTCTTCTTTCCATCTCCTTTCACTATTTCACCAGTAAGAATGAAGCAATGCAGGTGAGTTAGTCCTCCACACTGCAAAACTAAACAGGTTACTAGGGCTAGTTTATGGCTTCAATTTATTTGATTGCATTTCTTAAAAGTGAAGTCATTCGCAACAGCTCAGCTTGTGAAAATGAATGGTATTTACCATTTGTAATTTACAATTATAAACTGTGCAAAGAATAACAATAATACTCGTAGCACCAAAACAAACTTCAGAAAACTAGTATGAACTTGCCAAAGCCACAGGCTTTTTTTTTTTTTTGCAAGTTAATTCTGTTCCTTATACAATCCCCTGTCAACTGAATTAGACATACAAATACCATGTGGCTCTACACTCTGCTCTAAAGAAACTATGAATGGTTTGGAAAATTTCAACCAATGTTGAATCCTATGTGCATTAACTTACTGACACTTCCATTTACCTGAAAGGTTCAAACACAAGAACAAAAAAGTACCCCAGTAAATTTCACTTCAATCTTGTCTACAGAAGTGAAAAACGAAACTTTTACTAGGAACTTCTACTGAAAGTGGCCTTAACAGACATCACTGCAAAAAACCATAGTAATTTTAGCACCAAATATTTTGCTTGCTTCTGTAACTTCAGGCCTTAATTTCCTAAAATTCAAAGCAACCTGTGCYTGCAGAAACTGGGAAAACTCACCCTCTTCCAACATACAATGATAACCATTTCATGTTACAGATCAAAAAGTTTTAACCCATGACTACATGAAATGCAGCATTTTTACCCTTCTCCCACACTGTCCCCCTTTCTAAACTAGCACAAGTGTTTGTGCAGATGGATCATGAATCGAGCAGGATGAGCTATCAGGAAAGGAAAAGAGAAGAGGGAAAGTCACGCTGGTCTATAAATCCAGAATTCATTCTTATCTTGAATCATATGTGCAGCTTCTATTCCCTGATTTAAAAGAGAAGTAGCTACTAAAATCAGAAAACAAAACAGCAAGGACAATAAAAGCATAACTTCTTCCTTGGAAACAAGCATGCTATGTCCTTTCAATGCTAAGGAAAAAGCTTAGAGCTGAGCTACCAAGCAAAGTATCACAAACTGAAAAGAAATTGTTCTAATGTAAACACTACCTGGCAAATTAAGTTGACACCAAAAAGATTCAAAAACAAAGAGAGTATTCACACCAGGTAGCAGACCTGAATAAACTAYCAAAATGTAACAGATGTTTAGAGCTCACAAAGGTTCAACAAGAATTCAAAATACTATATGGAACATGTATCACTTGTAGTTACAGAATACATCAGAAAACCTCAGCAAGTCCTTTGAACTGAAAAAGATGAGATAATATTCCTTAGCAGCATCATATACAGTCCCTTTAAAAAAAAAAAAAAAAAAAACCAAACACCTGCCTAATAGTTTTTACTGACAGACAAAAGAAGATTATTTGGTGTGACATCCAGTATGGTTACTATTGTATTTATATGAAGAAAAACAGAAACAGGAAAAGATGGTCAGTTTACATTGATCATTCTCAGTCACATGACTCCAGAGGCAGTTGTGCTGACATAAAAGGGTTGCTTTTAGCAGGAGTGTCAAATAAAGCTTTGTTTTTCCTCAGGCAACCACTACTTCCCTTWGAGCACAAACTACTCAGCACCTTCAGGTATAAAACTATTTCCCTTTTTTTATCTCATCTAAATACCAGATCTRAAGCACTAACTCTGAACAAGTGCCCATCAGAGAAGTGTGTTATCCTAGCTGAGTCACTGGGGAACTGCGGGGGAAAAATATTTAAAAAGTTTAAAGCTACCATTGGTTCTCCCTCTGATAGTATTTTCCCATCTAAATAATACAYATAAGCTTCTGGAAATTAAATATGAACTAGTAGTGGTCCAGATATCTACCTGCCATTTAATATAAAAAGTAAGAACCGAAAAACATCTTGAAGAACCTACACAAGTAATTTTTATATACCTGATACACAACAGCCTTTAAGACTTTAAAACCCCACACTTCARCACCACCTGAGCAGGCGTCTGACATCTCCCTTAGATCTATACTTTCCTCCCATAGAAAAAAGCCACTCTGCACAGCGAAGCATCCTCTAACAGTAATTCTTCTCCTGGGATCTTCAGGTGTAGCTATAAGCTTCTACAATTTATGTCAGCCAAAAACAAACGGGGCTTGCTTTGGCAAACTGGAGGAAGAGCGAGATGTAGAACGGCCCTAGACTTCTTCCCTTTCCTCTGTAAGAGTCCCATTCCATCTGACAGAACCTGGCTTTCCCGGAGACCACTTGGCACCCCGACTGTCCCCCGAGAGCGGCCCGGCCGAGGCTCCGCCGCCCCCCGCCTCACCTCGGCCCGCGGGCCGCCCCCAGCGGCCGCCGCCCCGCCGCCCCCCAGGGCCTGGTCGCTCTTCTTGCGCTTGTACTTGTCCTTGTAGATCTTGTTGCGGTGCCGCTTGCACATCCAWGGCTTGCGCTGCTTCACCACCTGCGTGGTGGTCTCGTTGCAGCCCTGGTATGTGCAGCTCTTGCACTCGCCGCCCGCCGCMGTTTCACCGCTCGCAGCCGCCGCCGTCGTCACCTCCTCCTCCTCCAGCTCCTCCAGGCTGGCCGTGCTCTCGCCGCCCRCCGCCTCGGTCTCGGCCTCGGCCTCGACCTCCTCCTCCCCCACCTCGGGGTCGCCGGCGGGCCCCAGTTCGTAGAACACCATGAGGCCACCGCTAGCGGAGGGCGGCAGCTGCGAGTCGGCATTCGGCTGCAGCACCACCCCCACCGCCCCGTCCGCCGCCTCCTCGCCGCCGTTCGGCTGCATCACAAGCAGCGCCAGCTGCTGCTGCTGCGGCGGCGGCGAGGAGGAGGCGGAGGAGGCGGCAGCGGCGGCGGGGCTGCCCTGCAGGGCGGCGGTGCCCGCTCCGGGCTGTCCCTCAGCGCTCCGCTCCCGGCACCGCGCCGCTCCGCCCGCGCGCAGACGCCGCGCGCACCGCGCATGCGTGCCAGGGGAGGGGTCCCGGTGATGGYGCCGCCCCTGAGGGCGCTGTGGCGCTGCTGGCGTGAGGCGTTCGTGGGCGTGTGACAGACACCAGGGCGGGTTGGCCCGCCTGGTGACACACCAGCGAGGACCAGGGGCGTCCACTGTMGGTGCTTGCTCGTGGGCAAAAGGAGCGACAGAAGTCAGAGGGTCTACGATTAAAAAACCTTATTAGTAAATAGCGCACTTGGCGTGGAAATTGGTTTGTTAGTCCC